CTTCCCTCTAGTCTTACACTGCTAAATTAGGAACGGCTAGCGCAGATAGCCTTCGTGTAGCTTTGCACGAAATTCAAAACAAACAAACAAAATCGTGTACGTTATATTTCTTTCTTTTTTAATATCAGCTATACAAGTTATTTACGATATAAATTTTTGAAAGGATATTCTCATTCTTAGAGTACGTTAAAAAATAAAAAAAACATTGTTAAGATATTTTGTATATAGTTTTTGTGAATGTTTCTATTTTAAAATGAAGTGGGTCATATTTTTTTTTACTTTTCCATTTGATATCGTTGCCATTCATTAGCTTTTACCAAAAGTTAACTATCTCAAGGTGTTCCTGCCGATATTTACCCCTCTACCTGTTTTTCCTTCCCACCTAGCTGTCGATATTAAGATGGACTGATCCTGATCGATGGAAGTCGCCCCTTCTGCACCACGAGGACATTGAGTTGCCTAGCTCAAACACAGACAGCTCGGCCAGTCTTTCTCATTGCTACTTTCGACCAATTCTGTTCTGCTGAACTGTCCACTACTGAACTTCTAGTCCAGTTGCCTTTCACCAGTTGTCTGAAGTCATTGCTCGTTCATAGTCTTGCTAGCTTCATACTATGTGGGCCAGTTCCACATGGGGAATATAACTCTATTGACCTCTTGCATTCGCAAAGATGTGCCCCATTTCTTACTAATAGATTATTCGCTAAGAATTTGAAACTTCTGATAATTAGCAAACATGTTCCAGTACAGAAAATTGCACATATGTATCTTTAATATGGCGCACGAAAGTTAAATAGACTTCAATAAAACCAAAAGCTAGAGAAGTTATTATCAGGATCATCATCAGAAAAGTATTTCGTATTCTTTCACTCAAGGATTCGAACTGTTTGCCAAAATAAGGGCTCACAGTGGTGCATGTACTAATCGGCCCCGCGAATATCACTAGTGGACGACGTCAACTGGTTGGTACAGCATGTGAATTGGTAACAATATTTTCCTGGTGACGGCTAATTGTTGGTTTTCTGGACATCTGTATAATTTTTTTCCAGTGATAGTTCATACAATGTTTATTCTGGTTTCTTCCCAGCCAACAAGGTAAAAAAATTAACTTATTACTAAAAAATAATTTCTGTGTTGTTATTGTTTTTTTCATTGTAATACATGATCTTAAAAAGTATTTACTATCTTTCTCACAACGAACTTCAATTTCCTATCTGATCAGTTTCATATAAATCTTTTTAAAATGTCAATACTGTTCAACACTTAGTATTACTTCTATGTTCTACATTCTACACATAGCTTATTTTTAAATAGTTGAAATGTACCTTCAATGAACCCGGCACATGTTAATCAAGATCTTTTTTTGACAATTTATTTCACCTTAGTAGCTGTTTAGCAAAACGTGTAACCATAATACGTACAACATATGGTATGACATATCTACTTTTTTTATTACGTAATGCTGACTGGAGTCTAACGCATATGACTATGAATTAATGAAACGATCGTGAAGTCCAGAGAATCTCTTAAAGTTTTGTTTATTTGTTTAAAGTTTCGGTTTTACGCCTTCATCGGAAGCATACGTTATTTTCAATGAACTCTATCACTCAATTTAAAACCAATGTAAACCATGTGCAAGGGTATATCTTGTTGTGGCGTGAACATCTTTTATAATCTGGCGAAGCATGATTATAATTACTTTTACCTGTATAAGACATTAGTATTAGGCCTATTGTATTCTTAACACTACATTCTTTATTCATTCCCTTATGGCTTTTGAAAAAGATGAGTGGATAATAGTAATTCAACCACACCATGTTCACCGAATCTATTGCTGACGACGCTTTACGCTCAATACAGAGCTCATCAGGCATTAGGCACACAAAAAACATAGTAGAGGTCGGAACACTATTTGTATAAACTATATGTTACAAGAAATAGTGTGAAAACCCTAAGTGACTGAATAAATACTGTGGTGTTAAAAATATAATAAGCCTAATACTAATGTTTTACGAAGAAGATATCGTACATAGGATCATTCCTATCATTACAAAGCCCATGGCGCATAAGCATAATACAAACATTTGCGTCACACAAAGAAAGAATGTCTTACATAATAAATGGAAAAACCACATGGGAAAGTTAAAGAAAATCAAATCCACTAATTGCATCTGCTTATAGTTATCAGCTAGAAGAAAAGTAGTGAAATTAAAGAGAGGAGTAGTCAGTTTCTAATGTTGGGCATCGTTCTGCACAGTTTAAAGTCCGTTTCTATTATTATACATTTCACTCTACTGGTCCGGTTTCCATCGCTGTTAGGTTTACTCAAATTAAAGTCTGACTTGTCTTCCAATGTTTGGAAAGTCAGCTGATTGTAGAATGCATTACAAAATAATTCATTAAATATTAAATGACCAAATATTTCACCATGACGGCTTCTTTTTGGACGCAGTATTAGGACTGATCCTGTTAGGCTAGATATCAGTCCAAGAATGAAACTAAACGTTGTTCTGCGCGAGAAAAGGGCACTGTATGATACAGTATCGCGTGGAATTTTGTACGTTAAGCAAAATAATACCGAACATAATTGGTTGTAAATACTCTTCAATAAGTAGAGTATACAATATGAAAATCAACAACAAAAGTATTATATACAGAGAGTAGAGTAGTTATATAATTACGATTTTGAACATGAGAATCAGCAAGTCATGTGACAACCCCAGCAGATATAAAGTCACGGGTGGAATCGCATGTATCAGAACTACATCTTGATATTGTTTGGCTTTCGCATTTAGTGTGATGGTAATGCAAATTGGTCGCTTTTGGGAAGGGTATGCCACTCTTTCCGAAGTAAAATATATTTATACACTCAGATTGTAGAGATGTGTTCAGATCACAGACTTAGAAGTTCCCAGACGGGAATAACCCTTATAATTAATGGCATTGGAATACAAAGGAGTATGGATCAACATGTGGAACAAAGGCCATCCAGAAAGAGACCCGTAACAGGTATTACCCAAGTACGCGCTTTGTAACAAGTGATAAACTACGTACACAAATATTAGTGACAAAAACCGTCCATGTACCCCTGGTAACAGTTTGCAAGATAATCAAAAAGGATCTCCAGCTGGAAAAATGACACGGGTCACGCGTACACATGCTACTTCCACGATATATTTGTTCAACTGTCGCATACTTCAAGCTGCTGGAGAATGAAACATGCTATTTTATACAAAGGCATACCGGTCAAGTCACCAGACGTAGCGCCTGTGGAATTCTGTGCGATCGTAATGTTGAAACGAGCGCTGGAAAACTGTCGTCATCATACACTAGATGGATTATGGAAATTCGATGTATCATCGTTACTACAGAGCCTTAATCTGTGGAGCTATTTTCAAATTGAGCATGACCGGACGTGGCGACATGGACTGTAACGACGTGATGAGACTTCAAAACTGCTTTAGTATAACTTTTTCAAGCTGTGCAGGACAAAAAAGACTTGCTCATAGAAAATTTGAAATTGTATATAAGTATGTAAAGTATATCGAAACGTTTCTGTTCTGGGCGTCATTCGTGCACGGTTTTAAGTTTATTTCCTTTTCTTACATATATTTATTTTATTATCATAGTTTGTTTCATATTGTTTGCAGAAATTATAGACTAATTTATATTATTTCTTAAAGTATGAAATGCTGATTGGAGTATGAAACTCATATGACAAGAACATTGATCATAAAATACAATACAAATTTTGAATTGTTTTAACACTAGTTTTCTTTGTTGTTAAATCTAATAATTTAACTACGTATGTTTGTCTATTGTTTTACTTAATTTTTTACTCAACTGAAAGTCCTGTTTTACCTTTTATTATTAAAAGACGTTTCATAAAAATTTATGTACGAGGATATGCATCATTATTTATTTGACTGGTAGATAATAATGATTCTTATTTTCAGAAAAATAATTATTAGAATTTTTTATCTTGCAAATGTTCTGTACACATTATTTAATTTCATTTTCCTCTTTCATAGAATATGATTTTGGTGGTAGGTTAAGTTAATTACGTTTATTATAATTTCTTTAATATTTTAGAAAATATTATCTTATGGAGATTTATGGTTTACTTCTTAAAATATAATTTCAATAACTGAGGTTTGCCCCCCCCCCCCCACAGTATTCATCGTTAGGTCTTCAGGCTTACGACGCTAAAAATCGGGTTTATATTTTATTTTTACTGTCTGTTCTTAATCCCAAAGCTATGTGCTGTGCCCACTGCATGCACCAAAACCTATTTTATAAGCCCCCAGAGTTACAATTGAGTGTTACCGTTTACTTAAAAAGAATACCACTATAGTGTATTGTAACTCAAATCCACATCCATTTTGCTTAAATGAAAATTGGTAATTTGATCATTTTTGTTCACTGTAGTGCACATTAGAACCAGTACTTGATCATCATTATGAGATATTTTGTTTATTGATTACATTCTGCGTTATTTTGATGGAAGAGTGAACTCAAGTAATGTGACTTAAATTTTATTCTTGGTTAAATATTTTGGTATCATTTTATGATATGTGATTGTCCATTAACTCCAGACCGTCAGTAATTACCGGAATTAAAATTTGACTGCCAGTGTTGACCGCTAGAAGTTAGCGGATTGAAAATTTGGCTCATATTAGATACCTTTATCATAGATTGATTCATGGTACTTGTCATCAGTAGTGACTAGTTAGTAATTATTAACGATAAAAGTTCGTTCGTGGTGTTGAACGTCAATCAGTACCAGTATCATCAGCAGTTACAATAGTTAACTCAGTATCTTTGGGAGTTTTCAGTGGTCCAAGAATTGTAACTTTTTGTCTTCAAGAAGCCAAATCCTGGTTTCTTTATAAAGATGATGTAAGGAAATAGTGAGAACCAGTATTTAATTTGTTCTTGTGTCAGTAATTTGTAATAGATTTGTGCTATTATTAGTTAGTTCATTCACTGATGTCCGCTTTATTAGGACTCCCACCTAACATAGGGCTGACCACCTTTAACAATAATATTTTGGACCCGGCTTGTACTTTTAGTAATAATAACTTGGACACAGGCTGTATCTTTAGCAATAATAACCTGAACACAACCTGACATACCGTCCATAAAAAGGTGTTTTAATCATCTGAAGTGTAATAGCCGAAGAATATGGTGCGCAAATGATTTGCAGGTGTCAGTAGAGGATTGTGTGAATAAATACGAAGATAAAAATAACTAAATAGATGCTTTATTAGCTTGAGATCCAGTCAGGTGATTGTGTTAATCAAGGATGATAACTAAAGTCACTGTGGTTCTTCTCGTACCATTTTCGGATACCATAAGCTCAGTGGATTGTTGAATGTTGTGTTGAAAGAGTCAATGTCCATCATAATGGACGTTATAGGCAACAAAGTTCAGGTACACTGTTGATGCTTTTTGACTTCGAAAGGAACCAATGTTTCCACCTCTCAAAAAAGGGGGGGGAGACTGTTTACATTTAGTTACATTGCTACACATGGGTATATTCTGTGTATTGTAAAGAAATAAGATCACTACTAATATTTTCCAACATGTTTTGCCTTATATCTGACCTGTAACTGAAGTATCTTTCCAATTCTGTTAGATCGATTTCATATAGAATGTCTCAGCGCTTTTCACAAGCTGCTACTACGAAGCTCAATTTCTTTTATTTCCTAGTCTACGTAGCCTGGTTTTCAATGTTGGGCTACATAAACTGCGTTCTGCTTGAACTGAAGATTCAGGTGAAATAAGTAGCAAACTAAAAGCTGCTCAACTTGTGGAGAAGTCTCATGACTTCGGTTGCCACGTTATTTTCGTGGCTTTAAAAAATGATGTTTACTGATTCTGATGTTTAAACGTTCAAAGCTGGATCATTAACTAATTCTCATTTAGTTCTGAATATTTAGCTAAAATGTCATGTAAAAGTGTGTTTTCTAACGATTGTTAATGTTCAATGCAGTTGTCGTCAAATCGCTTTCATAATCCAGCTTTTGCAGAATCAACATATTCAAAGTGCTGCAGTCGGCGGTGTTCTAACTCGGTTATGGCATGATAAGCTG